ACTGGAAGCATGTGATCCCAGAAAGACCGCTTTCCTCTATCGCTTCCATGCTTGATTTGGGGAAAATCTAAGATACCCCCAACGATACCAGATATACATGAAATTACACCGGAGATCCTTGTGTTTGTTTATTTGGCAGCAAATGTCCTGTTCCCTGGCTATGAAAAAGAACACAGGGCACAGCGGCACACTGTGTCCGGGATCTGTCTCCCTTCCCGGGGAGGTGCTGATGGTTCGGGGCCCAGGCCGCTTTCCTGAACTCCTCGTCCTTCTGGAAGAAGTCGCCTTGGCGGTGTAAAGGTACACGAGGTGTTCACTTCAGATGAATCCAAAGACCACACACCCACAGGAATGCTTCCAGGGCATCCCCTAACTGGGTTTCCCACCTGTTCTGTTGTGTTTATCAAGGATCGTTCTTCAATCCAAAGCGGACATTTGCATTTAGAAGAGCTTGGAGATGTTGCAAAGCTCAAAAAGACCTGAACACAACCGAGTGAGTTCAGGCTCCTCAGTCAAATCCACATGTGGGATTTCAGGGGTCACCGCCCTCTGCATTTATTTTCAAGGGCTTCCGTAAACTCGAACTACGCGTCGGGCTGTTGAAAACCGTTTGAACCATCCCAGGTTCTCAAAAAAACTGGGTCACACAAAGCGACGTCTTCCCAACATTGTGCAACATTTGAGAAACCCTGAAGAAACAACCACTGTTTGCAAGGATCCAGAACAAACGCGTTCAACTTCCACGCTGGCCGCGGCGCAATCCCAATGCTTCAGCTGCCAACTCTCTGAGATGTTGGGCACCACGAAGACCTGAGCCGATCGAATCGTTCAGAGTTACTTCAAACGCGCTGGCACGGGCCATGTTGACAGCACATGGAAAGAACTCCATGAGGCGCCCGCCTTGCCATCTCGAATCAGCTCGTCAAAGCGCTGGCCTCAGACGTTCGTCTCAGTTGCCCAGTTCGGACCCATAATCTCAAAGCTATACAGTGAAGACGACACTAGAGGGTCCCAAACATGCCATCTATCCACGGAAGGCATAAATGGGCCACCCCCAACCAAGCAACCCAAAGAACCTGGAAATACAAGGCAAGGTGATCGCCTTTTGGGGCCATGACTAAAAAAGGTTGCCAAATGTTGCCAGAATAGGAAACCCAACAGGTCAGAAGGTCGATTCAATTGGGCAAGTGAGAGTAGGTCCCTTTTGCTCTACGAATCTTTTGGTGGCGGAACCACTTTTAGAGGGCAAACAGAGAGGCGTCCATTCTGAAAAGAAGGCACGCCCATCCTATGGGGACCGCCAGGCGGGGCTAAGCAACAACGCGTCGATTTTCGCGTCTACACTTCTTGGACCCCTTCAAGAGCTCGCTTCCCGAGTGGATGGCCCAAACAAGTCCGAAAAAATGCTGTTTGGTGCTAAAACGGTCTGCTCGAAAAGTAGAAAGTACAGAAGCTCAGGAAGTGAAAAAATGGGAAAGGGTTGCTTAGAGAGAAAATCAAAGCATGCGTAGAAAAGGTACATTTCCCTTTTAAGTGCCCTTATCTTCCCGTCTCGGCGGAGTACCCGCGTGAACAGCCTGCGTTTGGACAAGGTTGACTATGCACCGCTCTGTCGTGGGTTATGGGGAACTCCAACAAATAGCTAGCGCGCTACAAATGTTGCTTAAGCATTTGCGGAGGTCTTGGTCCCCTAGAATGGTTGGTTCCCGTTTAATGCCAAAAGCGGGTCCACCATGAAAACCATGCACCCGGTCTTGCTGGGGAACCCGGTCTTGCTGGCGAACCCGGTCTTGCTGGGGAACCCTCCATTGCCCCGACTTGCTTTTGGAGGCCTCAAAAGGGCATGCAAACTTCTCGATACCTTTCCACCCAGAAAACATGCTCGGGCCGGGTCTGGGTTGGAGGGGTGACCCTCTTGCGCCCGTTGAAGGTTTCCTTTTTGGGACCATCTGGAAGTTCTGGCTGCAACCATGGAAACCACGTGCTTTTTGTTGCGAGGAAGAAGCATTAGAGACACCAACCAAACAAACATTGCTCTAGGATCCCGGCCTTGGACCCCAAAAGACCTTAAATACTACCTGTCCAAGGGGATAGGGAATCTAGGGCCTGCTCATTTGCTCGTCCATAATTAAAACCAGAGAAACAAACCTTGGGCCTTGTTTTGGCTCTTCCGGGCCGCCGCGCGTGTGAGCGAGCTCGCTTCATACCGCGGAGCATCGAAGGGCGCAGAAGCCGAGGGCCTCAAGGCTCTTGGGTTGGCGGTGGGTTTCCCAGCCAGGCTTCAATTCATGCCGAGCAGCCTGACGTTCTTGCAACGTCGCTGAGTGCAGCAGAAACCGCCCCCTATAATCAAGAGTAAGCAGGAAATGCAACTGCTCACCACACTGAGGGGGGGGGGGTAGGTAGGCAACTGGTCGAGTTCTTGCCCCATGGCTAGGCCCTGATACAAAGCAAACAGTTGCTTGCTTCATGGTCAGTCACCAGCAAAAAGCAAAAAGTGAGATGCGTGTTCCCCAAGGCCTTGATGTTCGACTTTGACGCGCAAGTCATTCGCTGGTTGCAAAGGGCGAGGCCCCACCCTTGCCTTTGGTGACTCTATGCTAAACGCCTGCACCTCGTGGTCTAGGCCAAGGGGCGATGGTCGCCAATAGGCTTCCTCCTTGCGCGTTCACACAAACTGGGTAGGCCCATCAGTTGCTCATGTTGTATTCGACGACCGAAAGGTAGGACCACCTACTAAAAGTGGCCAAGAGCTGGATTTTGGCACTTGCTCATTTGCTGCACCCCGTAGCCCACATCTGGCTTCTGATCGCGGCTCCTCCGGCTCGGAATACCTCAGGCGTGTTAACACGGGAATCTTGTCCAACAATTTGGGGGACAGCTTCAAAAAGGCCAGTTCTAGAGCAACCGGAAGAAAACCCACTCTTTGGTCCCCGTGATTGTGGACACATTTGTTAGGCCAAAAGTGGCTGCTTGTTGGAGTGCCGGAATGTGTGTGTTTTTTGAGGCTACCCCTTTTTAGGTGGCTTTATTTGGCAAAACCGATCGCTGAAAACCCACCGAGTTGGGGCACCTATTCTTTCTGGGTCTCAGGGAATGAGGAAATAACCTCACGAAAAACCCATCCAACTTGGTTGTTAGGGATCCTCTGGTTCATTCCCACGGCGCCCTCAATTTTATTGACACCATCACACCGTCCCTGTGCCCGGCAAGGCAAATCCTCCATCGATCCAAGGCCTCCCTTGGTCTCCTATGAAAAGAGGCAACCCCGTAGATCCAGGCAAGCCAATAGAATAAGCAGGATGTCAACCTCTATGTTTTACAATATGAATACCCTTGGTTAGTCTCGAGCACTCACCAATCTAACTCGTGGATTAATGGGGAAGATGTATCGAATCCCAGGGATGCATAAACAGTTTTTGGACTGATTACTTTTTGGGGGCACCATGAACCATAGTACGTAGGAAACCTAGCCTTTGTTTTCCCTTGGTCACTATGTTTCCGTTGCTTTCCCTTGGTGCTTCTGCTGCTTGTTCTGGATTACTCACCATTCTTCCCGCCGTTCTCCTTGGTCACCTCCTCTTAGCTGTTGGTTTCCCTTAGTTTCCCATGGTTTCCCTTAGTTTCCTTGGCTACCCGGTTGGTTTCCTATGCTTCCCATGGTCTCCCTTTTGCTTCTTGGTCACCTACTGCCCTCGGTTTCCGCACAGCGCCGAGCGGCTCTGCCGGATCTGCGCGCGCCACCAAGGATCCAAGCGCCAGGAGGAAGCGGCGAGGCGCCATGGCCACGGGCCCCCGGTTGCAACAAGTCAGATTTCCTCGTAGTGGTGCGGATTGGTTTGGACTGGTGATTTGTTGGTGTGGATTTGTGGTTTGCGGGTTTTTGGATTGGTGGTTTGTTGGTTTGGTGGTTGGTTTCGATTGGTTCGGGCTGTGCTATGCTTCGGACCTGAAAAGGGTCGAAGACATGCTGTGAGTTGATGCGATCACCCGCGCTTTTGGCGCCAATACTGAACGCCGCAAAGTACAAAAGCTGACAGGTGCTATTGAGAAGGTGATTAGACAAGGGTGGTCTCCGGGTCCCCTTAGAAGCATTGATGGCATGAGAGCAGAGAGTACCTTCTAGCTAGGTTGGTGTTTGACCTCTGCAAGAAGGTCGACTTGTTTTGCTCGTGAGTGGGAAAATGGGGAAGTCTGGAAAATCAGTTTAATTTGAGACCCTTTGGTGAACATCGGATATTCCCCAAGTTTCACAGCTGCGAGCCGATGTCGCGGAACCCATTGGCTTCAACTCCTGCGCAAACGATGTTCCAATGGAAGATCCTTCACCAAACCCAGTGAAGTTGTCGTTGCAGTAGGACACCAACTAAAACTAGCGCGAAAACTAAAGCGAAACTCAGTGGTTAGGCGGGACAGCGATAGCTGAAATTCAACGCAACCCTGGCCCGAAGGGTGACTGATTTCAAAGTCATAATTCATGGCTCACCCAGAGGAGACCCATCAAACAAAAGGACACAAGGGGTGCCACGAAAGCTGGGAAATGTGTCTGACACAGCAGAACCATTTGCAGCTTCTGCAATAGCTCCCAAACGTAAATCAACACCCCCTGGTTGACTAATAAGGAGGACCTTTGAGAGGATATCCTGTGCGATTGCCCAAAACTCCCCAGCAATGAACCAATCCGGCAGGTTTGCTTGGGGTAAACTTAAATTACAAGAGGCCCCGTCGGAATTGTCTATTTAATTCCCCACATCACACACACACACACCCATTGCGACATGTTTTTATCGTTGGTGGCACCGGGTGGCACCTGGGATTGTCTTCAGGGCACCCTTCTTATCGTTTTTTGTTGAGGGGAGCCAAGGAAAGCCACCTATCCGCGATCAAAGTTTCAAGCTGTCCAACTAAAAAAGTCGGTTGTGCTTGTGCTTTTTTTGTGTTTTGGGGGTCCCTAATTGAACCACCCCCTTCCAGGTACATGCGGCCGCTAGCGCAACGTCCTCTGGGTAGTGCAGCGTGAGATAAGAGTCGAAGTCAGGACTGGCACAGTCGCTGCAATCACATGAGACATGGTCACCATAGCCAAGAGGACACCACTTGGTGATCCCGCTGGCTTTCGTGCGAGTCCCCCATGTCCCGCCCAAATCCACCAGGCAGGTGTTTGGATCACTCCCATTCCTTTGGGGGTAGCGGGGTAGTAGACATGCTGAAAGACCTGTCAGAGCTTGGCCCCCTCCAACAAGGTTTCTGCGCTCGGGGGCCCGGAGAGTCCCTTTATTTTGACCATCCCTCAAAGACTGCCCTGGTTGCTGGTGTCCACTCAAAGTGAAGGATTCGTAAAGTGTGGTTAAATCATTTCCCTGTTTTTCTTTCCCATAGCATCACTCGACCAAAAGGACATGCACTTTAAGTGGCCCCGAAAGGGTGATGTTCAAGCATCTACAAAGGGGACATGTAGGGATTATTGATGTTGTAAGGAATGAGATGGTGATTCCATTTATACATTCGCTTCAGGCACTAGAAGCAGTTTTGCAAGAACACACTACTTGTCAGGTGCGCAACGAAGGCCATATGATGGTGGCATTTCGCGCCCAGGTCCAACAAAGCGCCCGTGTTGACATGTAAACCGCCCTAATACCTCGTTTCCCCTGTGGCAACCATCTTACCTGTCAGGACATGCGACCTGTTGAAAGGTGGGAAGTTGCGTATCTTGGGGCAGTTGTTCTCTGCGCAACAAGAAAGAGCTTCTTCAATACCAATGCACGGCTTGAATGGGTTGATCATTTCAGTGGCAGTGGTAGACTCGGCAAACAAACATGGAAAACTGGGTGCGAGCGAACTGAGACATCTTCACAAAAGAATCGTCTGCCAGCCGCAACTGCAATCATTCCACCTGAGACAAGGGGATCCCAGCAACAAGGCACCTAAATTATGGCTGAGCTCGTTCTACCCCTGGGTCGGTGAGCTGCCAACCTGGAACAAGGTGCAGCACTTGCACGGCCTGCTAATTGAGCTGCCGGCGTGGTTCACGCATTGCAGGGTGGCCTGCAGAAAGCGCATCAAGAAGCCACATGGTTGTGGGTTTTTTGTTGAGGGATCCCTGCTGGGTTGAAGGGACAAACATGAAACCCACAATTTGTGAGGCTCCCTAATTTTGACGTTTACCCACATGATTGAAAAAACAACAACAAAAAAACAATGAATCACTCGCCCCTGTGAACAAACGCACCCTATTCTAAATTATACTGTTCCCAAACCCCTTATCTCCCAAAACTAATTAAAGTAGAATTAGCCAATACTAAACCAGTTCGAAACGAGCAAATTTCCCGCCGACCCCAACTCCAGTCTTATCAGGGGACATGCTAGAACCAATACTAAACCAATACCAAACCAACACCGAACCAAGACTGACCAAAGGTCAAACCAATTCTAAACCAGCGCAAATGAAACGAATGACGTAGATTTCTGCTGTTTGAATTCCTTGCTCAGAAAGTGCCATGTTGAACGACTTGTGGGCCTGGAACGGGAGGAGGCCCCCCAATTTGGACAAGGACCGTAGCGGAACCCCCGGAAGATCTCTACAAAAGACATGTACCCTATTAATAAGTATTGTATTGCTCGGGCTCCAGGCCAATATATTCATTGGGGGTAGGGGGGGGGGGGTGCTTCGCTTGCCTGGGCCAAACGGATCCGAGCTGCTTAAATGCTGACACAACCAAACACCAAGATGAAAGACTCTTCACCAGATTGGAACCCTCAGTTCCCCAGCCCGTTAAAAAGAAGAAGAAACAAAAAGGTGGTCCCCGCATAGGGCCACAACACATGGGCCAAAAAGGGAAACTAAAAGGTCAAAAATTTGCAATGGGGGATAGCCCATGTACTTGACTAGAAGAACGTTCTACACACTAACCCAAAATGGAAGCGGTTAGTGCCTCGTGTCGGAAGTTCTGTGAACGATTGCTGTCATGTATCCCTTTAGGTGCACCCAGTAGATGCAACTGCCCCTCTTTTGCATAGCGTCCAAACACATGGTGGCACAGTTGCGGGGCACGCCCTCACAGGTACATGAAAATGGATGGTGATTGTGTGAGTTGCCGTTGGCAAATTTGGCACATCCCCGCACTATTTTCAACTGCACCTAAAGCCCTACCTGGCAATTCAAGGTGTCGTCAAAACTCATGGTAAATAATCAAACACCTGTTCATGGTAGTGACAACCCCCTTAACGTTCATCCTGCGGCTCAAATTAATCCCTGGCGTTGCAGAGCAAAACATTTGTTTTCTCAACAGCTTCGGTCCATGAAGTGAATGTGAATCAGAATACAAAATGTGAACATACCACTGGAGTCTCCAAGACCCTCCAACATGGGGCATGAGGTCATGTCCCCCTGCTTCCTTGACTCCAGGTCGGCCAAACAAACCTGAAGCAAATCTCAAAGTATTTGCCAGGAGTCAGGCACGTTTAGGGGCTTACTGAGTGGTACTTGAATGTGTTGAATCCACTCAATTGGCCCCTTTTCCGGCTTTAACCCTTTGGGGCTGCGGCCGCCAGCGGTGCAATCGGCTTGCACCTCAGAAAGGTGATTGCCAGCTTTTTGACGAATAGACCTTCCCCAATGCTCTCTGAAGTCGGGTTCGCACAGGTAATCCGTGCTTCGCAAGCCATGGGCTGGTTTCCTTTCCCGTTTTTGGTTGCTCCTTTGGCGGGACCAGCATGTAAAGCCGGCCTGTGAAATGGGAGTGCTGGGTTTGTTGTCTTATTAACACTCCCGAAAAGGTAGTTCCCCAAATCTGCGAAACATCAAGAAACGCATCGGGCTTTTGAAGCTTGTCCAGAGACTCTACTGAAGAGACCTTCACGATGAAGGGGCAAGGCAAATGCTTTGGTGAAATCCTATAGTCGTAGGTCGGCTTACACGAAATGTTCAGGTTAGAACTGAGGCAACCTGTTTTAGCAACACCTGTACTTCTGCGCAACCAGAAAAAGGGAATGTTATGGTGAGCTGGCTCGTTTTACGCCCGAATCTGTGAGCTCCTTCTAATTTGTGCCCAGATTTGTTCGAGGAATCCTCAAAATCCATGCCATTCAGAACCGTGTGTTGGCCACATGCCTCATGTTTGGATCGCCTGACGCCACTTTGTCCACCTCCTTTTTTACCAAGTGCCTAGAAAAGCAAAAGCAGAGCGAGCAAGCCGGTTTGTCTGGATTGTTCAAAGCCCTTGTTCTCTTATAACATGTGGATATGGAACGAATCAATCTGTACGTGCCTTTTTGGAGGTGCTCAAGGAAACCAAAAGGAGAACCAGCATTTTTGGAGGTCCGCCTGTTTTGAGACAAAGCCCAGCTGATGCATGAGCATTTCTTTGTGTGTGTGTGCGCGCGTTTGCTCAAAAGGTGCATGCATCCCATCCGGGTCTCCCCCTTGGTCTTTGGGATGAGCTCCCGCAGGGTGACCGAGCTCAAGACAAAGCCGCGCTCCATGTGCGCCCGGCCACACTGTTGACGTTGTCCACTGTGATGGGGGGTAGATCACTTTTTCCTGCCCCTCCTCTCCCTTGGGGCGGATGTCAGGGCCCTCGCACCTGTCCGGCACCCAGGGAAGAGGGGTGCAGGCCCATTCGAGACGGCCGCCACCACCATTGCTTGCGCCAATTCACCTTGACCTCAGCCAATGTCCCTCCGATGCGCTCAATGCTGTACACCTCCGAGAACTCCTTCAGGCTGTCCAGCGGGATTGGGTGAGGGCGTATCAGGGCACCTGCCTCATCCTCCATAGGCACATCCTCCGCCTTGCGCTTGGCTGGGATGACAGGGGCCTGCTCCAACTCTGCACTTGAGAAAAAGTGCTCCTCGGGCAGGACCGACCAGCCTTCCTCCTCCCTCTGCACAAGGCTTGCCGGGTATTTCTCCATGGAAGCCTTTGCCTTGGCTTTGGCCTCTGCAACTGTGGCTCCGGAATAGGCAGGGGCGTACATGCCTTACGAGGGGATAAGGGGAAAGAAAGTTTTTTTCAAATCAAGAACAAGACTGGTTTGGTCCACTTGAGCCAAAATGTGTTCAAGTGGACCCTTACAATAAGTTAAGTCAAGTGCACCTACGGCTACACTTTTGCCCAATAACTTATCAACCTGAAATACGGTGCCAAAATCGGAACCTTCACGGCCAATTTCGATGTGTTTACCCCTGATGAATAATCAACTACGCAACTATCTGTGGGGGAGTCTTGTCGAAAGTGCGCCCCACTTAGCGGGATCATCCTTGTAACAATGGGAGGTACTTACTTCCAAACGGTTTACACGGGGTTCCACTTTTTGGATTGTTTCAAGGCGGACTTAAACGCAATATTTAGTTTGTTTCAAACAAGCCCTGGGCTTAAGGTCCACCTGGTGGTAAATTGGGCCCTGGGTTCCGAAACCAGCGCCGTGAGCTCAAGCTATCGCTATCGCCCCACGGAGTCGCTATCGTTGGCCGATTCCTCGGATCAACAATCCCCAGCTAAATTATAGCAAACTAATCCAAAAGGGAAGAACTTGGGAAGAACTTGGGAAGAACATGACAGGAACCTGAAGGGCGACCTCGGTCGCAAACCATGGCTGAAATGAAGCGAGGCGGGGCGCTTCGCCGGAACTCCGAATCGAGGGCGGCGCAACTTCAGCTGATCGATAGAGAGGGCGATAGTGAAACTGCTCGAGATGTCCTGCGCTTTGAGTCCTGTTTCTTTATTCCCCACTGCAAATTGGAGGTCGTTTGGGGCTAGAGGTCCCCCTGATGGCCTTGTGGGTCGTGGGATAGGTTGTGGTTGTCAGTCTGGGGCCCAATAGGGGCGAATAGCGACGGCCTGGGGTTCTAATTAGTCCAATAGCCGCTATGGGAAGGATCTATCTGGGTCCTATGGGTTGAAGGCACCGGTTTCAACAGCCTTTTGGTTTCCCCTTTAAGGACAAGGGTTTGGATGTTCAAGATATGGGCGTGTCTTTCTTAAGGGGAGCCCCGAAAATGATGGCATCCCCTTTAGTTTCCTTTTAACAGCACTCCAACACACGTTTCAATCAGTACCCTCAAAAAAGACACAATATACTTTAATGTACTTGTGGAATTCCTTTTCCTCTCAGCCCCGCCATGTGTGCAGGAATTCCAGCGGGTTACCAGTCGCTCCATGTAAAGGACCCGCAAACGGGTTGGCCTCTTAGGATGTCATGTTGCAGTATGGCCAAACCTGGAACTCTGAAATCAAGACCAGCAGTTTATTTTAAACGGAACCTCACAAAAGGGCACTGGAGTCTGGGAAAGGTACAACTAACAAGCTCGGCCGTAGCTTTAAACTTTGGACAAACAACAAGTAGAAGCTGGTAAGAGCTCGAGGATATCAATTCTGCCGTTGCTAAGTGACTAGTCACCCCGCTCAATGCCCCCAACTGTAGCTGTGTTGGCCCCAATTGACCAGAAACTTCCCTTGCTAGGCTCAGCCCCGAACCAACCAGGGTTGGGCCAGCCCCGTTGTTTAAATCTTACTTGCCCAAAGGAACCTGTGGGGGTGAGTACGCCAGGCTCTTTCCCAGCCCCTGCTTTCCCTTCTGACTCTTGACTCGAATGCGCTAGCTAGTGAACAGAACAATGTTACTACCAATTTCAGCATCGGTTGGATTTTGATTGGGTGTGAGTCGTGCGAGTCCTGGTAGTAGCGCATGAGGTCCGACGCGCACCCCACTTTGTTCTTCTCGTCCTCCTTGACATTGGCGAAGTACCTTTGGCCAATGGGGGTCTCTTGTCTTTTGGGGGTGGTGTTCTGGATCCCTGGATGACAAACAAAAACTAGCAAAAAACCACACAATGATTTAAGCACATTGTGGGCCCTGTTCAACTTGACGTCGTTTTGCGCAGTCCCAATTGATGAGCACAGCCTTACAGTGGCTGTCTTCATCCCGTTCACATTGGTTTGTTCGCAACGTAGCCACATGCTTGAAATTCATAGAGCAGAACAACCCCCGGTCGCACAACCTTCTACTTGTTGGAGCCAAACAAGGCCAAAGCAGCCTGAATAAGGCCCTAACTGTGCCTTCCTAATGACAAATTATTCACCTATAGGGCAAGGTTCCATGGTGCCACCGAAGTCCGACCCATAGCGGCATGCCCTCAAGCCTGTACGCAAAGTGGCCAGTGTCAACTGCCATGGGTACGCTTGCGTGAATATTGAGTATTGAGGAAGCAAACCTTGTAAAAGTCGACGTGCCTGACGTACGTATCGAACTGCATGCATCATCTGCAATCATGTTATGCTGAGCCCACAAAAAGACAACCTGATCTATTGGGAAGGATCCCTCCAAAATACGGCAGCCTGTTAATCAACCAGCAGTTGATTAATCAACCGGGCTCCCATGAAAATCAGCCAGGAAAGGGTGATATGCTCAATACACCAGCGGAAACAACCGAAGGCCCAAGGGGGCCCTCAAGAAAAGTTCCTACCTTCTTACACAGAGTCTGAAGGGGATTCTGAAAACCTTTCTAATGAGTCGGGCGGGGGGGGGGGGCATTAGCCAAAAGTAAGCTTTTTCCCACCGCAATCTCCAGCAAGTCTTTGCACCGCGAAATGGGAAACGCAGTGTGCCAGCTTCAGGCAAAAGCTTTTGCCTGACAGCAACCAACAGCGCCCTGTCCTGAAGCAACTACAGTGTGGCCAGTGCCAACAAAAACCTCCAGATTGGTGCTAAGTTGCTCGCTTGTGTTTGTGGTTAGATTGGCCATGCCCTGATTCGCTCCCATGACATATGTTCTCCCAATGGACGTGGCAAACCCAGGGTTTCGGCCTCCTGCCTTTTGTGACAAAATTGGTGTCTCGCCCCTCACGTTCTCAAGGCCGCTCTGATAAATGAAGCTCCAGGGGGTTCCCACAATCAGGGAACATCTCCTGATTTCAAGAGATACCGGGGCGGGGGGGGGGGGGATGGGGGGGAGCCCTCACTCGTGCCCCGATTCCCCAACACAGAATGGCGGATACAAGGATGCATGCAACTGGGCGGTCTTGTCCAACCTTTTGCTCTTAAAAGGACTCAGGTTACAAAGTGGTGGCTGGTGCTTTGTTCTGCAAGCAAGGCAGAAACGAACGCCTCAAGCAGCCCCTCTTTGTCGTTCAACTCCAAACCTTGATTTATGTTTTTTGGGTGTGTCTTTTTTCATGGTACCCTTTTTCGGGGTTGGTTGAAAAGGAGACCAAAGCTAAACCCATTGTTGGGAAGACACCCTAGATTAAAACACATATAAACATCTTCGTCAACCGCAACCGAGTCAATGGAGATGTACGATGTTCACGTTAATCCAGTTTGACCATATCGGAGACTGGGCTAATACCCTCGGACCACCGAAGGGCTGGTGAAACGCTAGACCTCAGGTCAGAGACACCGGGCGGATTGACCCGACGTTGGTTGAAGTCTCAGCAGAACTAAGAATCTCAAGCGACCCCTTGTCAGGGGAAGCGCATTTTTACCGCAAGCTTGCTATATGAGCTCCGATTATTTTCCATGATCATATTGAATTTCGGGTCCGTGCCGTCCCCTTTTAGACAAAGTGGTGATGTTTGCCAGAACACTGTTGTCCACAGCAACCAAACGTGATCACCTTTTGGAATCTTGACAAAATATAGACCAAAATAGGAAAACCAACAGGTCAAAAGAGTCGCACTGGTTGCCTGTTCAAAACTCCTTGGTTCTTGTGAGCTCATGCGGGGAAATTGGGAAAACTATTCTGTGCAAAATGCGCTTGTCCACTTTACGTGGTTTCTTATACTTGTCCCCGTTAAGAATCGCCCCACCAGAGGGGGGTGACCCTAGTCATACAATATGCTCCATTTACCCACCATATGCTCCATTTACCCAATCCCTATACATTACCTAGGGGGTGGGTCGAGATGGGAATGCCAAACACCTCACTGCACCTCACCCACTACTTTTTGGATCTACACGCATGGTCACAGGCCCTACCATAAACCATATGAAACCAAACAGCAGTCAACACCTCCCAAACCACCCCACACACAACACATAAAATGCCAAGAGGGCTTTGGCGATGCTCTCAATTGGGTGTGTCCACTTTGGAGTGAGAGAACGACCTCCGCGCGGCTGCCAGTGTCTCCGTTTAGCGCTCATCGACCCAGTGGTCCAGCTTGCCCATCTTGAAGTACCCCTTGAACTCCTGGGCTGCTCCCATTCGACCGAGAAAACTGGCTTTTGGGTTGGGAAGACAGAGCTGACTTGGGTGGAAGGACCAAAACAGTACCAACCCCTACCAAAACAGTACCAACCCCTACCAACCCCTACAAACCCCTACCAACCCCTACCAACCCCTACCAACCCCTACCAACCCCTACCAACTTGTTGCTTGTCTCTTAAATTATCCTCCTAATTCTAAGTTCGGGAACTCGGGGAGTGGAACCCTGAAACCAGGCCAGCAACAGGTCTTGCGAGAAAGCCACGACGGCAACCGCGCGTGCCCACGAGGGCAGCTACCTTTTGCTGCTTAGTGGGAACATCGCACGGTTTTTACCAACAAAAGGCACCAGGGTCCAATGGGAATGCATTTGTAGTAGATTGCCCCCCCCCCCCTCATTTTGGCTTGAGCATGCACGAGGGCATGCTGTGGAGTATTCCATTTGATGAGAGCCTTGTTGACAAGGGGTGAGCACTGCTCGAACGTGAGGCAGCCTGTCCTGATCGCTGTGATCCATCAGCGTGCCTGGCCCGAAGCCGTGGTACGGGGTGTCATTTGAGAGCCAATGTTCATGAACCTTTAAGGGGGGGAGCTGGGAAGAGGTTTTTGCTATCACCTGTGAAACCCTTAATTGAGGTCTAATGGCCTTAATCAGTGGCTCCGTACTACATTTTGCGGCCCAACTTCATCCGCAAGGCTCCGATTGTTCAGTGCCCCCGGCCTAACTCGTGCTGCATGCCATCCTTCCACTGTCCCGCATACTTCTTCCACCTGCGCTGCTCAAGACGGGATCGCCACTGACCATCGTGGAGTGCCCAACCACGCAAGAATCCCGAGGCATCATGTTGACACCCAAGGCAACATCTCAAATCATCTTCCAAGTAATTGGCCCCTGGGTGAGCCAGGTCTTCAAACAAAGAAACCATCCATCCCATTTGTCGAGAATGGGGCCCGCTATCGACACTCGACTCAAGGCCAAGGAAACAAACGCACCTCCTGAGGTTTGCTCGAGAACCCAGCCGTGTGTATCTCAGCGTGATGTTCAGATTATGATTGATGTATACCAACCTGTTTTGGTGAGACAGTCTCCGCTAAAATTCGAAGCCTTCTTACCCTTTCAACATGTGCGCCATGCTGCCCGACATTTTCTGGGGTCCTGACCCTGAATTCTCAACAAAACAAAAAGAGAAGGTAATTTCTGGGGTGACCCCACATTCCTGACGTGAGACTCCAGGGACATGTTCAGGCCTTCAGAGCTTCACTTGCAGGGAGAAACTGAGCTGATGCATATTGTACCCTTCCATTTGCTTAAGCCCCCTTGGATGTGCTGTTTTCTGTCAAACAAAAAACACAAAACAACAGTAGCGATAGATTTCACTTTAAAACCAAACACTTAAAATTACAGATATTCTTCAGCAAATGGAAGTACCCCGTCTCTTGTAGAATGATAATGCGGTGTCGCCACTTAAACACCCGGACACTTCAATAGGTCAACAAAGATTTTACACTACCTCCGCCAGCGTTACCGCCAGCCCGGCCGACCAAATTAAATACCCGATTTAGATAGGTATTTTGCGTTACGTCTTGAAAGCCTGCCTCTGGCCCGGCCCGCCTTGTCAATTTGCTTGCTGTTTGTTGCCAATTACATCTTGCGCAACCAGTCGGTTGTTCTGGGATTTGTTCAAAAACAGGCCCCATCCCAAGAAACCAGGAGATTCACGAATTTAAGGCAATGCCTCGTCCGAGACAAGGGGCAGTACATGTCTTTCTCGCTTTCTTTCTCTAGACAAGGCTTAGGCAGCTCAATTCAGCACACTTAGCTCCGCAACTCCAGGCATTTATGTTGCATGGAATTACGAAAGCGTTGGTCTGCAATTAGAAGCATTAGCGTTGCGCCGACATGGCGCCTTAGGTTGGACCTGTGTGACTTGGCAAGGGCCAGCGCGTGTGCTACGGATTCGGGGCAAGGTTTTGCGAATATGAGATGGTCCTTTTGCAGGGGTCTGAAACAGGTCTGAAACAGGTCTGACACAGGGCCCAGTGCCACATGCATTATATATATATATCTCTCTCTCTCTCTCTCCCTCTCTCCCTCTCTCTCTCTTGCGTCTCTTTCTTCTCTTCCAATTCTTTTCATTCTGTGGGTTTAAAAATAAGCTCCTTCTTGCTTTCTTTCTCCACGAGCCACGTAGACAGGGCTTAGGCAGCTCAAGTCAGCGCACTTAGCTCCGCAAATCCAAACGTTTTTGCAACATGGAATTACGAAAGCGTTGGTCTGCAATTAGAGGCATCGGTGTTGCGCCGACATGGCGCCTTAGGTTGTACCTGTGTGGCTTGGTAGGAGCTGACGCGTGTGTGCTACGGATTCGGGGCGAAGTTTTGCAAATATGAGATGGTCCTTTTGCAGGGTCTGAAACAGGTCTGAAACAGGTCTGACGCAGGGCCCAATGCCAGATCCAAGCATTATCTCTCTCTCTCTCTCTCTCTTGCTTCTCCTTCTTTTCTTTCAATTCTTTTCATTCTGAGATTTGTTAAAAAACATCCC